CAGCCACCGGTGTGCACAGGCCCCTCCGGAGCCGACAGCCCGCGCAGGCCCAGCTCGGCCGAGTGCTTGTAAGTTGCTAAAAACTTCAGGACTTTAAAAGATGTGCAAGGCTGTTTGACACGATCGTTGAATTGCTGTATATCTTTTCAAGTGATGAAGCCCGCCTGGGGATTTTAAAGGAAAGAAGCTGTACTCTGCTGGGTGAGGAGTATTTGACTGTCTCCGCCTGTTTCCTATCTCAGTGCTCATTATGGTGACTGTTCATAGCATGATCATTGCTTCGCCGTTGGAGGATAACATTTGTTAGTGGAGATCGGGAAAATTTATTTGTGCGATTCTGCAGAGTTCATTTTTCTATTCCCAATATTTGCTGAAGTTAAATAAAAATTTTCAAGCCATTGAGGTAATAAAATATGAAACAACAATTTTCTGCACCCCCTCCATGAGCAGTGTCCCCCCCCCCCCCCCCCGTTTTTTTTTTGGCCCTGGGGTGCTGAGTGTGGACACGCGCCCTGTGGGGCCGGGGAGGGCTCTCTCTTGCCTCTAGCTCAGCTCTCCCTGAACACCTCCCTTTCGAGCGCGGTGACCTCACGGTTGGGATCACACTGAGGTGCCGGGTCGAACAGCTGGCAAGGACTGAGGGCTCCATGCGGAAGGGAGGGGCGTCTTCCCTTTCTGCCGTGACCAGGCTCCCTCGCCCGGATGCTGGACTGTGGTCCGAAGAGGCCTCTGGTGGCCCAGAGCGGACGCCTCAGCCCAGCGCCTCGGGTGACGGGAGGGCCCTGCAGCAGCACCGCAGCCCCCGTCTCTGTCCCCTTCTCAGATGAGTCAAAACCTGACTCCCGTCCTTGTTGCCCTAACGGCATTGAACATACACATCAGGCCCCTCTGTGCACACAGTGGGGGGCCTGGGATGGTGGGGGGCGCTCCAGCCTCCTGTGCAGAGTGTCCCCGGGCGCCTGCCAGGGCTGCTGAGGCCGCGAGGAAGAAAAGGACCGGGTCCAGGGCTCAGAGGCCATGTGGCCTAGGGAGGTGACGTGACAGATAAGCTTTCCTGTGGGGGGTGGGCGTGGGGGGAGAGGGGCCTGGCCTTTGCTGACCTCAGGCGGGGCTGGAGGAGCCGTGGCTGTGGGAAGGGGTAGGAGACAAGTCATGGGTCCCCAGATGAACGGCCTGTGGAGAGTGCAGCCCAGCCTCGTCCTGCAGACTCGAGGGAAGGACGCTTGTGGACACGGAGCCGGAGTGACCACACCCACGCGGGACTCAGCTAGTGGCTTCCTGTCTCCATCCGTCCAGTGAGTGCATGTACTGAAAAGAGCCAGCCTGCCCGGACGTGCGGCTCAGTGGTTGAGCCTTGAGCATTAACCTATGAACCAGGAGGTCATGGTTCGATTCCTGGTCAGGGCACATGCTGGGTTGTGGGGCTTAAACCAGTAGGGGGCGTGGAGGAGGCAGCCGATCAATGTTTCTCTCTCATTGGTGTTTCTATCTCTCTCCCTTCTCCCTTTCCCTCTCCCTCTAAAAATCAATAAAAACATTTTTTTAAAAAAAGACAAAAGGACCCAAAAAAGTTATATGTGGAGTTTCAACTGCATGAGGGGTGGGTGGGTGCCCCTTACTCCCATGTTGTTCAGGGTCAACTATCTAACCTGACGCTGGCAGAGAAGCTGTGAACTTAAAGGGAATTTGAGAAGCAAGGGAACCACAGAGAACAACCTCACTGCGAACTGACTGAAACCCGCCCGCTGGCATGGCTCAGAGGCTGAGCTTTGACCTGTGAGCCACGAAGTCACAGTTCAATTCCTGACCAGGGCACAGGCCTGGGTTGCAGGCTCCGTCCCCAGTGGGGGCTGTGCAGGAGGCAGCTCATTGATGTTTCTCTCTCATCATTGATGTTTCTTTTTTTTTTAATCCTCACCAGATGATATTTTTCCCCATTGATTTTTAGAGAGTGGAAGGGAGAGGGAAAGACAGAGAAATATCGATGTGAGAGAAACACATTGATTGGTTGCCTCCTGCACGCGCCCTGACCAGGGCCAGGGCTGGGGAGGAGCCTGCAAGCAGCCTGCAAGCAAGGTACCTGCCTGGATATGAGGAATGGAACCTGGGACCCTTCAGTCCCCAGGCCGACGCTCTATCCACTGAGCCAAATTGGTTAGGGCCATCATTGATGTTTCTATCTCCCTCTCCCCTCCTCTCTGAAATCGGTAAAAATTTATTAAAATAAAAACTTTCCTGCCCTGACCGGATAGAGCGTCGGACTGCGGACTGAAGGGTCCCGGGTTTGATTCCGGTCAAGGGCACGTACCTTGGTTGGGGGCACATCCCCTGTGCAGGAGGCAGCTGATCGATGTTTCTCTCTCATCGATGTTTCTAGGTCTCCCTCTCCCTTCCTTTCTGTAAAAAATCAATAAAATATATTAAAAAAAAAAAACTTTCCTGAAATCCTTGACTGACTGCCCAACTCTACAGGCAGAGGGGAGTACACCTGCCCCAGCTGCTGCTGGAAGCTGACGGGACTGAGCACATTCAGCTGCTGCAACTGTGGGGTGAGACGGAATTTGTAGTTTGAACACAGGCCAGTTACCTGCGCTCCAAAACAATAACAACAAAGTAATCATCACAAGAACACAACAGAATCCAGAATCACTACAATGTCTGTGTTATCTACAATGTCTGATTTTCAACCAAAAATTAATCGACATGCAAAGAAGCAGAAAAATGTAGAATCAGGAAAAAACATAGAAATTGGCACCAAGTGGACCATGATGCTGAACTTAGCAATCACTTCAAGTCATATTATAAATATGTATTAATAATTAAGGGATAATTATTTTAATGAGTGAACAGATAAGGAAGCTCAAGAGATTTTTTAAAAAGTTGTTAAATAGAATTTCTAGAGCTGAACAGTATGAAAACTAAAATGGAAAATTGCGCGTGTGTGTGTGTGTGTGTGTGTGTGTGTGTGTGTGTGTTTAGATGGTTTGAATAGCAGATTAGAGGTAGCAGAAGAATTGGTGAACTTCAAGATAGAGCAATAGAAATTAGTCCCAAAAATGGAGAGAACAAAGAGGAAGGATGAACAGGGCCCCAGAGCCGTGTGGGACACATGAAGCAGCCACACACATGTGATGGTCTCAGAAGGAGGAAACGGAGAAAGGGACAGGACACACCTCTGAAGAGATAAGGCAGAGACCACCCCAATGAGTGAGCCATGTAGACTCTGGATCCAAGAGCCTCAGTGAGCCTGAAGCCGGATGGAAACGATGGAAACCAGTCCTAGGATCACCGTAGCCAACCCTGGAAGCCAGCGGGAATGCGAACATCTTGGAAAACCTTGGAAGTGAGAGAAAAATAGGTTACACAGAGGGACAATGACACGATTAACCGACTTCGCAGCAGAAACCAAGTTTTCTGAGGACAGAAAACTTTGGAACATCAAGATGCTGAAATTAAAAACTGCCAAACAAGAACTCTATATCCAGCAAAATCTTCAAAATGAAGACATTTTCTATAAACAAAAACCGAGAGAATTTTTCCTCAGCAGATCTTCATTCTGAGAACTGTGAAAGTGAGTTGGTGATGTTGAAGGGGCGGCTCTACCTGGCATCTAAGATGAACGGGTAGATGGACGGCAATGCAAGTGGTCAGCATGTGGGTCAAAGACTAGATGTGTCTCCAAGATCCAGACAGAGGACAGAAACCACTCATGTCAACGAAGAAGGTTTTTTCTTTTCTTTTTAATTATTTTTTTTGACATTCCATCTCTCTCTCTATAAAAGCCTAAGCGACTATCCGACCGTCTGACCGTCTGATCGGCAGCTATGACGCACAATGACCACCAGGGGGCAGACGCTCAATGCAGGAGCTGCCAAGCTGCGGTGACTTGGCAGCTGCGGTTCTCAGGTGATTTGCCCAGAAACAGAGAGGAGGGAGCCTGATTCCCGGGTGTATCACCTGAGAACCGCCCTCTCGCAATCTGGGACCCCTCAGGGGATGTCGGAGAGCTGGTTTTAGTCCAATCCCACAGGCCAGGCCGAGGGACCCCACTGGTGCACAAATTCATGCACCGGGCCTCTGGTTACAATATAATTGACTGTGTTCCCTGTGCTGTACTTTACATCCCATGACTATTTTGCAACCACCAATTTGCACTTCTTAATCCCTCACCTTTTTCACCCAGTCCTCCAACATCCCTGCCATCTGGCAACCATCAGTTTACTCTTTGTATCTGTGAGTCTGTTTTGTTTGTTTTGCTCTTTAGATCCCACACATGAGCAAAATCACATGGTATTTGTCTTTCTCTGTGTGACTTATTTCACTTAGCACAATACAGGCAGCCCTTGGGTTACGTCGGACTCCATGTACATACGTCGTTTCGTGGTTACGTCGCCATCTCCCATTTATTTTTTTAAAAAATGTTCCATCATTTCGAGGTATGTACATATGCGCTTTATGTTTTTATTATTTACCACAAGTAAAGGTCAGGAATTATCTTTTAAATTTTTTTTACTGTTTCCCTTCATTACTGCTGTGTATGTGCTCCATGTGAGTGACGTAGGTGCTTACGTAGGTGGGTTCCGACTTATGGTGGAAATTGCGTTACATCGCACCGTAGGCTCGGACCTCTGACGTAACCCGAGGACCTAGTGTGCCCTCCTGGGCCCTCCACGCTGTCACAGATGGTAAGCTTTTGTTCTTTTCTGTGGCTCATGTCCCATGGTGTGTATGCGCTTTGTCCACTTGTCTATTGTTGAGCAGGTGGGCTGCTTCCACAGCGTGACTATTGTAAATAACACTGGGATGAAGGTGGG